GCCTGAAATATTTTCCTCTCCATTGTTTAAAGTCCCTCTCTCAGTTATATCAAGAGCTCTTCCTTGCTTTTGTTTGGGTAATCTGGGCTTTCCTACAGCAGCCCGTGACATGTAGTGATTAGGATGCCTTTCCCAAACATGTCCTGTTTCATTTCATGCCACTTTGTAAATGCCTCACTGTTCCCTTGGTCCTGAGTCTCCAACTAAATATATTTCCCCCTTTACAGACGGCTGAGGTGGAGTGAAAAGTCAGTTCTTGTCCATTGCTTTGCTGTATTCTCCCCTTGCAGAACGTGGCACGGGCGTGAGGCCACCCTGTGCCTCTGTTCAGTCCTGGCCTTGCTCATCTCTGGGCCACGTGTGTTCAGTGGTCAGGCAATGAAGGGGAAAGGACTGGGCAGGGTCCTGGACTGAAGCTCCCTTGTTGAGATATTTTTTTTCCAGGTTATGTGTCCTGCTCGGGTCTGCTGCCCCCTCCCAGCACCACCCAGTACAAAGCCAGTCCCCTTCCAGATCTGTCAGTCAGGTATGTGAGGGCTCATGTAGTTTGTGAATGCCTGTTTCTTACCACTACAACACTGATGAAAACTCTACTTATTTCCTGTGTCAAAAACCAGAAGGGAAACCTCTCATTTCCCTGTCAGCCACAGCCAGCCTGTTCCACCTGCCCTCAGCAACCTGTGGATAACCCAAACCTGGCTCTGTGGGTACATGGACAGGAATGTGCTCCAGCACACAGAGCATTGTTGAATAAAAAGATATGGTCCTGCAAAGGATGATCCTGTAACTAATTATCAACCTGAAGCTTTTAAAGGCCCTTTTTACTGCCTGGCTTCTCATGGAATTCCATGGGTCAGCTGTTCTCCCTTCCCAGCCCAACAGCATTTTAGGTGGATCACTTTGGGTACAACAATTTTAATTCTTGTCAATCAACTGTAATCGATCAAGGACAGTGAGTACTATTCAAAATCAGTTCCTTCCATTATTTTGCCAGCTTGTAATCAGCATTATTCCTTGGAGCCAGGGCAATCCCTGCATGCTCCTGTGCTGTTGCTGGAGCTGGAAGTGCAGCACGAGGATTTCTGGATCCCTCCCGGGGCCACGTGGGCTGGAAGGGCCAGCAGGTCCCCCACGAACCGTCTGGGAAGGAGCAGGTTTGCAGGGAGGGAGGCTCTGACCCAATTTTCAGCGCTGGAAATAAGGAGTGAGTGGTTTTAAATAATGCCACGCTGTCCCCAGCACAATGGCGTGGCCTCCAAAGGGCTAAACCAGCTCCGGTGATTAAAGCTGATCCCTGCCTTGCAGGGCCGGGCAGATGGTGCCGCGGGCTGTCCCGACCCTCCAGGCACACGCCTTTTGTCGGCAGTTTAACTCCCTCAATGGGCGACGTGGGAAATCCCGGGAGCTGTGGGCTCGCCCCATCTGATGGGAATGGGGAACCAGGCACACACAGCAGCCCTCTGGGCTCCCCACATCCCAGCTTCCATCATGGGGAACCAGGCACACACAGCAGCCCTCTGGGCTCCCCACATCCCAGCTTCCCCCTCTCTCTGTCCCTTGGAAAGGTACCACTAACCTTCCATCCCCCTGTGCCTGCCTCACCTACCCTCGGACACTGCTGGTGGGGGAGAGGAATTCCCTCAGTAAGACCTGAAAACTCAATGGCAGTGATATTTCCCAACTGATGCTTCAGAATAACAAACTGTCCAGCCTTAGGCTGTCCCTACAGGATATTCCTATGGGGCTGGGTGCAGTAGGCACTTCCTGCAAGGATTTCAGGAAGGAAGATTTATGCTGTGCTGCAATCCAGTTGTTCTTTGTTAAAAGCCTGTAACTAGTTTGCTCAGTTTGGGTTTTTTTAAAAATTCTGCTCTCACAGCAACAGTCTGTCCCACTGGAACGTGTCTGTGGTCCAAATCCTTGTCACTGTGCTCCATATCCATGGGAGGAGTTTGTGTCTCTCAGGCTGTTGCTGCAGAGCCAGAAGGATGGACTGTCTGGGGCTGGCTCAGAAACAGGGTTTTCCCTGTTTGGGGAATGAAGGATTAAAAGAGACAACCCCCCAAAACTTCCCAACGTGGAGTTAACTAAAGAATGTGACACAATAATTCCCTTCTCTGGAGGGTGGTGTGAGGTCTGGAGCTGCTCCTGAGAGAGGACAGCAGTGCCCTGAGCCTGTTCTGGGAGCCAGGGATTGCTGTGAGCTGAGGAACAACCACCCCAAAACTGTCCTCATAGGCATGGCAGTCCATAAATCAAAACAGCTGGAGGTCCCCTAGCCTGAGGAACTGGTACTTTGGGCCTTTCTGCTCCTGGTTTGTAGGTGGTGGTTTCAGCCCAGGTGTAGACTTACTGCACACACTCTACACAGAAGCTGCTCCCAGTTTAACACCAGTTGGCAGCTTTCTCAGCCCATCTGATCCATGGCTTTCTGGGGAGGCAAACCCAGCATGTTGCAATGCAGCAACAGGTCTGGAGGGAGTCAGGAAAGAGTACAGAAACCCAGAATTTCATTATGCAGATTTTAAAATCAGTGTCCTGTACCTCTGTGGCTGTGCTTCCAGCTTGTACCAATTTCAGAGCATTTTTACTTTAGACCATTTCCTACATTCATGTCAGCCTGTCCCAGATGCTATTGACGGCGTTTTTAAAGAAATAATTACGATTTTTACATGTTTTTTTTTTTCCTCTGCTTTCCTTAAATGGTTTAAAATCTTTCTGACAGCCCCTCTCGAGACACCTATTTAGTGTCAAAGAGCATAACGTTCCCAAGTTTTAAAAGGGCCCTCGAATAATACTGATCGATCAATGTGCTCCTTGGGAAAATAGCTCTCCAGATGGTCCATCGGGACAGGAATTGCTGGTCGGCACAATGCGGAGCCAAAGAGCGGCACTAATGCGGGCTGTTGTGAGGCACACGCTGCCTTTGTGCCCCTCTGAATGCCCCGAACGGGGAAGAAAGTGTGGGAAACTCCGAGAAACTCAGGCCCACACTCTGAGGTTAATAGGGGCTTTGTCAGGAGAGTATTCCTGAGCTGTGGGATCAGCATAATAAACAACATCTTCCCTAGGGGTGGGAATGTGTTGGAGCAGGGGAGGGTCGCCCCAGGGGACGGGGCGGGAGCCGTAAGAAGCTTTGAGTTCAATTATGAGAAGTGATAATAATTAATAAATTGTAAACACACCCTTTGGCGGGGCGGGGGAAGCCCGAGGTCTGGCTTTTAGCTCGGGGGTAATTGGTAAATTAAAGCCCAGGGAGGCAAGTCTGTGGCTGGTGAAAAGCAGAAGGGGAGCGTTTGCCCCAGGGTGGATCTGAGTCCCTGGAGCAAAGGGAGCCTTCCCGGCGGGGTTTGGTCCCTTCCCACTGCCCAGGAGGAGGCTCCTGCTGTTCCTCTCCCCTCCACCGTGGTTTAAGGCACTGCAGAGGTGCTGCCATGGGGGGACACTCACACAGGGGGTGTTTGGGTGGAATCCCATCCCCAGGAGGGCAGCGGCCCCTCGGTGCCACGTGTGACCCTATTCCCAGTGAGGCACACTCAGGATGTGCTGGGCTTTGGGGCACATGGCATCCCAGCTGAGTCTGAACTCCCCCCCACTGCCCTAATTAGGCTTGATTTAAAAACCCCCAGGCACGGACAACAGCTGGAGTTTTGCTGGGATTCAGAAGCTTGTACTAATTGACAACGACAAGTTGAGCACAGTGAGGCAAAGTGACTTTTTCAAGCTCGCTGAGCAACCACATAATCTAAAAATACCTCTTCTGAATTATTTAGCACTTCATTAGGAAGAAGAAACTACCTGCAGCATTGGTAGAGACCTGTACCAAAGCCTACCTTGCACTGCGTTGGCAGAGAGGTGAGGAGCACTCGACCAGCTTGTGCTTTCGGGGCAAAGGAATAACCAAGATGATCCCTGAACTGTAATGAGGCAGAGCAGCATGCTCCTGACCCAGCTGTCTGGCTTTTTTGGGGGGCTTTCTGTGTGGATAAGAGAGGGTTTCATCATGAGCCAAATGAGGACTGGCCAGGCCCAGCCAGCAGTGGTGGGATGTGTTTGGTTGTGTCACCTCAGCAGATCTGAGGTTGCTCCCGGCTTAACTGAGCAGCTTTGACAAGATCAGCTGTTCAATGTTTCCTTTTATTTAGGAAAACACCCCTTATTCTAGAAATGAAGCTTTTCAAGGGCACCTCTTGCAGGGAATCTGAGGGGAGTTGAATTGTTGAGCAGTGGTGTTTCCTGCTGTTCCTGTATCTCTGTACAATGAGAAGGTTCCCTGTCATGTACCCATATCTGTGTGTTCCTGTGGTTAGAGAGTGGCTTTGTGAACTGATTATTTGTGCAGATTTGTTCTACTTTGAATGGAAGGGAAAATAAAAGGAAACAACTTAGGAGAGGAAATGCTTTTCAGTCTCTGCTGTCTAATTATGGAGACTTCCAGCCAGATGTGGGCACGTTTCACTTCAGTAAAGGCAGCAATTTTGTTATTGCCTAGCAGAATTTGTGTCATAAAGTTAAAAGGCAACACAAACTGGTTCACCCCAGTGCAGGTGGTTCAAAGAGGGCAAGACCTCCAAGCAGAGGCAAGTGCCAAACTCTTTGGAAGTTATTGGGAGGTTTCCCTGAAGCTCCCTCATAAATGGGCAGAAAGCACAAGGCTGAGCTCAGCTTGGTGGGCAAATTAATGGGGGAAGTGAAGTGGCTGTGAAATTAGGGGTTTGTTTAAGGCTGAATGGGTTGCTGTTAAGTCTGAAAGGTTGACACCTCTCAGCACCTCACTTGGCTTCACCTCCATTTTGATTTTTGATAATTTTCCCAGAGGTTGCTGCTTTAAGGGATCTGAAATCCTGCTCTGCCAAAGGAATTTCGCAGATATAAAGTATGTCCTGGAGTGAAGGGCTCAGCACTGTGACACCTCCTGATGGCTTCCCCACTGCAGGGGGGTCTGCAGGCACCCAGTCCAGCAGGATGAGCCTTTTGAATCATTTCAAACCAAAGGATTAATGACTAAAACCATTTTTATTGTATTGTACAGTGAAGACACACAAGTTGGACATCACACAGGATGAATACATCATAACTTTATAAAAGCTTTTTAAGCTCCTTAGTGTGTTCAGTGAATGATTACAAAGTACTTATTGCTTCCCTTCCTCCCCCTTCTCCTTAAGGTATAGCTCAGGTATTTTCCTTTACAAAAGGCATCAATTATCCCTCAACTGAGAGCAGCACAAAGTGACAGGAAGAGAATTTTCCCCAGAGCTGTCTGTGATCAGCACAACTCTGTGAGGACACCAAAAATAGCAGAGGAGCTTCAGAAGAATCAGCATTTCTTAATAACATCTTTCACTCAAAAGGTAAAGGCTCAGTCCTCTCTTTATGATACAAAATACATTCTCCAAAGGGCTCCTTCTTGAGGAAGGTCAATACATTACCAAGAGACAATGGAGCACTTGAACCAGTGACCCGGGGAGTCAGCCCAAGGATTCCCACTGCCAGCCACAGGCTCAGCAGCCTCCGATGGAACCTGAAGGGCATTTGCTCTCTGAGATCACCACAGAACTTGGTCCTGTCTTTGGCCAGGAGCCACCAATAAAAGCAACAAATTTGCTGCAAGATACACCCACAGTCCTTCACTATGAAGGGAAACCACCCAGCGACCCTCATTTCTGGTGACAGAAAAATAATAACCACCCCCTCCCACCTTTGGAAAGCAACGTTTCCTACTTTAAAGAGGAACTAATAAACCACAGGTCCCTCTAGTTTTTGTAGCCAAACACGGGAACAGAGTTCAGCAGGTCTACCAGGGCCTCCAGATGGTGGGAGCAGCAGGCAGGCTCTTCTGGGCAGGCTGTTTTCTGGGGAGCACACAGGGAGACAGGGGGGAGCTGCGCAGGGCCAGGGAGTACGAGGGCTCTGAGCCCAGCTGGGCTTTGCAGAAGTGCTTGATGAGCTGGACCTGGGTCTCCTTCTTGGGCTCGTAGTAGGACAGAAAGTGCATGGCCTCCTTGAGGCACCGCAGGTACCCGCTGTTAAAGTCCTGCTCGGGGCTCTTGGGGGAGAATGCTGGAAGAGAAGGAAAGAAGCAAATGCAGTGGGTTAAGATCACGACCAAAACATGGGACAGTGGTGATTTGAGCAGTGAATTTCTTTCAGGAGTCCCTGAGCCTTGCTCATGTGCCTGGAGCTGGGGTGTCCCAGCCCTGGGGAGCAGGGTCAGGCGTGGTACCTGCTCTGCACTCACTTTGCTCCTGCAGCTGGCTCTGCTGCTTCAGGTAGCTCACAGCCACCTCCAGGATGTCGGCTTTCTCCAGCTTGGAGTTGGGCTGGTGCCTCTGGAACTCCTTCTCCAGGAGCAGTTTCAGCTGCTCGATGCTGCTGTTAATCCGGTCCCGGCGCATTTTCTCCACCACCGGCTTCCTCAGCTGGGAGAGAGGGAGCACATCCTTAGGGATTCTGTGGGGCCTGACCCGATTTCCCCCCCATGCCCTGGCACACATGTTCAAAGATGCTTTCATCTGGTGGAAGAGCTGTGAGATGCTGCCTACCCATTCCCTACTCCATTTAATTTTTAAAAACCAGTATAGTCTCCTTTATCTCTCTTTAACCTATTTGCCTTCCCCCAGACCACTTTCTCCCTCCTATCCCACCTTTTCTCATGTCATATTTACTTGCTAGGGGCAAGCCAGCCTTTCCAGTCCTCTCAAGGGCTCCACTTACTTTGTTCTTTTCCTTTGGCAGCAGCTTCTCCTCCACGTGGATCATGAGGGTGTTGCTGGGAGCCATCCCGGGCGCTCTCAGCTGGGCACAGACCCCGCTCAGCTGCCGTGCCGAGCACGAGGGGATGCTCTGGCAGCTCCCGGGTGCTGTATTTATAGCCGGGGTGGCGGGGCAGATACGTGAGTGTCGGGATCGCCGGTGTTTCCCACAGCCCCGCAGCCAATCCCGGCGGGCAGCGGGACAATAGGGGAAGCATCCATTAGTGCACGGTCCATTGGCTGCCAATGCCCCGGGGAGAATAACCTTCTGCCCACGCTGCTGGTGGAGTGTGGGGCGTGGGGAGCTGGGAAAGCACCGACCCTCCAGCTGGTTGCCTGGGATCAATGGCATTCCCGAGGCCCCGCATGTGCCGGGAGCAGGGGTGGCGTGGAGGAGGCACGCTTCTGGGGCAAGGCGGGAAAAGGCCACGAGGAGCCCTGGTAGGGATAAAAATCAACATCCCCAAGGACACCCCGGCCCTCCCCAGCCGGAGTGTGTGTGGGAGGTGTGTCCATACAGCCACTGCACGGCAGTGGGTGACCCAAAGTGTGACCAGTGTGGAGCCCCGGGTTGGTTTGCAGCACATTTTTAATGCTGTGGAGAAGTGACAGTCAGGGTGGAGGGGTGTTGGATGGATGGGATGAATAACTAGGGAATGGGAAGCAGTGGGAATAGTAACCTCAGTTTTGCTCATCCCCTTAACACAGCGGGCTCTGTGAGTGCTCCCAGTGCCCCCAGTAAGGAAGCCCACCCCTTCCAGCAGAGCTGGGCCATGCCCAGTCACCCCATAGCTCTTGCTTTTCCATTTCCTCCTCTCTCTCTTTCATACAGACATTTATAGGGATGATGGTTACAGGGGCTGAGGAATAGCACCAGATTCAACCTGTAATCCTGGGAAGTCTTTGGAAACCAGAGGTGTGTCATGAATGGGATTTAGGAGCTGAGGCCCATTTTTGGCCCTCAGCAAGGAGGTCAGTTGTGCTTCTTGCCGGAGGTTCCTGGTGTGCTCTGTTCTGCCCTTGGACCTGCTGCAGTGCTGAACATCAGATCTCATAGACCAGTCTCTGCCTCCCTGTGTAAACCTTACTGTGTCATTCCCACTCCATTTTCTAATGTGGAAAATGGGAACAGAGCTGCTTGCTTGCATTGGCATGGAGACGTCGGTATGAATTAAGCAAACATTTCTTTTGTGACAAAGGCAAGGGAAAGAATGAAGCTGTGAGGGCACTGGAGGTAAGTTCTGATTTTGTCTTATGAGAAAAATCTCTGCCTGGATACAGTCCTTGAGGCAGCACTGAAAATAACCCAGAACCTACCTGGGAAAAGCTGTGCTGCACCTGCCATCTGTGGGTCCAGCCCCAGGCAGAGGCGTGTGCTCCTCCTGCTCCTCCTGCTCCTCCTGCTCCTCCTGCTCCTCCTGCTCCTCCTGCTCCTCCTGCTCCCGGCACTCCACTGTGAGCAGGGAAGTGTGCAGGGAGGTGAGAAAGCCAAAGAGTTTCTTACTTGGAAATCCTGAAGTGAAGCCCGAGGGCAATGGGCAGTTGACAGGAAGGAGGGAGGTGTCACTGGAAGAGCCAGGGATTCATTGTGCTGACCTGAATGGGCTCAGCCCTTTGTGAAGGGCAGATGTTGTCCCTGGAGCCCTTTATTCCCTGTGTTGTGGGAAAGCCAGGAGACAAGACATCTCATGAACACTTTGAAGCAGTCAAAGGATTATGATACAAAATAAGACACAGCTCAGAGACCATGGCCCAGCTCCTGCCAGCTCTAATGAGGTGTTGCCTGTTTTCCTGTGCTCTTTGGCTGGCCTTCCTCCAGGAGCTGGTATCCCATGTTATCCTTTCCCTAGCAAGGGAGAAATGATGGCCTTGCAGGCAGGAGCTGACAGGTAGGCATGGACCAAGCTGGCTGAAGAGACTCTTCAGTGTCAAACTCCATCTTTTTCCCAACTCCTGAGAAGCAGCCCTGACCTTTATTGCTGTGTTAGAACTGATAGCCAGATGGTCTTTTGGGAGTTGGATTCTTTCCCTTTAAATCATTCAGGCTCAAGCACCGTCACTAATGTCGGGAGTAGTTGCAAGGCACACTTCTATTGTCCCAGCAAGAAGTGTTATCAATGGGGGAAGAGTATGGGAAAGGCAGAGAAATCCAAACCCACACAGCCTGGCGCTAATGACTCCTTTGTGGAGCTGCTGCTGTCGGGGCACCATGAACTCCGTGGCTTTTTCACCCAGGAAGGCTGAAACGCGCCTGTTTCTCCATCCAGGGGCTTCTCCAAGCTCTGTGTGTACCAGGAGAAAGGGATGGCAAGGGGCAAGGGGCAGGGACAGTGGGTCACACGCAGGGGTGGCTGCAGGAACGCCGAGCTGAGCTGCAGCACGAGCTGTCCCAGGGCTGCTGGTTCACTCCACTGTCCCTCAGTTTGCTCTCCTGGGACATGGGAAAACTTTTCCACAAAGCCCAGTTGGAATGGGGAGCTGCCCTGTGTCTGTGGTGGGAGGCAGGGACAGGGTTGAAGTCCTTGTGCTTTTCTGGCATCACCTGGGGACAGTGCTGGGCACCTCTGGGAACGAAGAGGAGGAGCAGGGCTGGGCTCTGCTCCTTGGCTCTGGAAGTGCTCAGGTGGCCCCTTCTCCCTGTCTTGCAGAGGAGTTTCTTTTCTCCCCTCCTGTTGGGAGCATTGCTGAGAAGGCTCGTTTCCCCAGGGAAATGGAAGGGTTGTTAGGATCAAGCCAGCTCTGATCTCACTTGAAGGATAATGTGCTGGTGGCAGCAGCACTGAGGGGGAACAGCAGCAAAGAGAACACCTGCCAGGGTCCCAGGCACACACACCTGAGTGGGAATTGTTATCTTTGAATGCCTGAGGAACTATTGGGTCTGTATGTCACTGCTGGGTGGACCTGTCCTAATGTTTAAGACTCCTGGATTTCAGCAGCACAAATCCCTGCAGTATTACCACATCCCCTCCTCACCCTCAGGCTCTTCCAACTGGCTCTGTGGAGGTTCTTGGCTAAGGTGTGAAAAGACAGGGCTCTCTCTATTTGAGTGACCCCTAATGATCCTCTGATAGTTTTTAATTTAGGGACCAGTGCTTTCTTTGGTGTCTCAGATGAAGATCCCTTTCCAGCCCCCCTGTGCACACAACCCTGCCTCCCATGGTCTGCTCAGGGTCCTTCAGTGACGTGACATTCTACACACTGAATAGTTTAAAAATTGTTTGCCTGGAAGGCAATATATAAAGAAATTATCATGTAAAACTTGCTATTCAGGATTGGCTTCTGTTCCCACAAGACAAGCATAACTCTGTGTGTGAACCGACAGAGTGGGAGTGCAGGGAAATCTGCCCTTCCAGGGGAAAAGGTTATGTTGTTATTGCACCCATTGTGTAAAATATTCCATTAAATGTCATTAGCATGGCATTATCTTGCCTCCTTTAGACATCAGAACCCCCTCAAAAAGGGGTCTTAGTACTGTAAAGTACATTCTTCACAGGTTTAACCTTTTTTAATTAGTTTTTCTTCAGATCCAGAATATTTAATATGCTGCCGTTCCCAGGTGCATGGGTGAGGGAAGGAGGACTTTGATCATTAAGAAACATCTGAGATCTGCATTTTTAGGGTTGTTAGAGGTAAAAGCAATTTCTATAGCTGCTTGTGTGGTGACCCCCAAACAGTCACGCACCAATGACATAGTCCTTCTACAGTGAGTATCACAAATAATTAAAAATTAAGGAGAATTTATTATTTTTCTGCCCAGCTGAAATTCCCACAAGTCACCTCTCGGCATATTCAAGAGTGCACAAGAGGGATTTATTATTTCCTGGTATATTGACTCTGAAAGGTCTGGGGATTACAGCTGCTTTGCACATGAATAGCTGGAGTGTGTTGTACAAAAGGCATGGTCTGTGGGATAATGGGGTTGGATGTGGGAAAGCGCTGACCCTGGGGGAGAGCAGGCTGGTGCCTGATGGCAGGAATCAATTATGGCTCAAAGGAACACATTGCCCCGGGAGCAGGCTTGGCGGGAGCCACCATGTTCGGTGTTTACCACCCTCCTCCTCCGGCCCCGGATAAAACAGCCGCGGGGTACATCCTGCCCTCCCGCCTGGCCCGGGGCTGAGCCGGGGATGGCTTTGGGAATGGCACCATTCCCCACCTCGGGAGCAGGGCTGGCACCCAGCAGGGCTCTCACACGTGCTGCCAGATGGGGCTGAGGTTCCTCTCAAGCACCTCAGATCCCGAGCTGACCGGGAGCACACGCTGCCCAAAGTGCCCCGGAATCCCCCATCAGTCACCTCCTGTGCCCTGGCCAGGGAGGGAACAGCCTGTCCCTGACAATGCCGTGCAGGGAGCAAACAGAAGCTGCTGGGTTCATGCACTTCCCGCATTGTTTGGGGTGGGATTTTTGGAAGACGGTGGCATTCAGCTCTTACAATGGGCTCTGCATCTCCGGGTGTCTGGCACTGCTGCCAGCCTTTCAAATGTCAAATCTGGGCTTTGAGGAACCAAGAAATGGGCTGAGCGTCATAGGAATTTAACAAAAACGTTTGATGTTTCTAATAAAAATAAAAGGATTTTGATGGGAGAGGGTTTACTTACATTTTGATTATTTTATTGAGTATTTAGGCTTTGGACCGACGTCGTTAATTTTTGGTCTTTATACAATTATGAGGCTTGGACATGAAGTCCTGCTGAAGGCCATAAGTATTTTGAGCCTCCTGATAAAAGTCACAAGACTGAGCAAACAGTGCTGCCAAGCTGTTGGCAGGGAGCAGGTATCCTGCAGGGAGGATATTTCAGCGGAGCAGGTTGAGAACCGGGAATGTGGCTCCTGAGGTCTGGCCCCAGCAACCACTTGCTGTCATTGACAGGATGGGAATGGTGTGTCCGTGCCAGAGGGGAGGGCAGCACCTCTCCCCGTGCAGGGGCAGCAATTAATCCCTTCTGCATGTGGCAGATATTTAATCACTCAGACTCCAGCCAGGGCAGCGTTTGGGTGGGGGAGATAACAGGCACAGGCTTCCCGGGTGT